AGCACGGTAAGTTATGCAACACAGGCCTGATAACTTGCATACAAATACCATGGTAACTTTGTCCTGAGGAGAAATCATGTGGTAGACGTGAAGAAGTGACAGTTTTCTCAGGGGTGGGCGCCCGAGATGTTCGGGAGAAGCAGGTTTCTCGGGCGAGCCTACAGGGTCGTTTGGGAGGAGGCGAGGTCAAAGGACGAGGAATCGTGTGGTACTTTAAAATGAAAAAAGTAGAGGTGTGGCAATTTTGCTTATATGGCACACATGTACCAAATATCACAGTCCTATAGATATAAGTAGTTCTCTTTGTAAACTTGGTCAAAGTTTATAAAGTTTGACTCTTCAAAAAATCGATATACACTAGGAACGGAGATCCGCTCTAGCAACTACTTCCTCCGTTTCTAAATATAAGTCTTTTTAGACATTTCAAATGGACTATAACATACGGATGTATGTAGACATATTCTAAAGTGTAGATTCACTTATTTTGCTCCGTATGTAGTCACTTTTTGAAATCTCTAAAATTTGGGAACGGAGGGAGTAGATTGGAGATGCGCTCGCCAAGAATCCACGGGATTTGGCGACCTGGGAGGCCAAGCCCTCCTCCAAAGGTTCGACGCTAGAGCCCATTCCCATTGATGAGGTGGCTAACCCGGAATGCTTCAAGCTAGTGCGGCTGGGTGGAACACTTCCAGGTATAGTGACAGTTCATCCACTCTGTGTGCGTGGAAAGCAGATGCAACTCCAAATCATGGGCAGAGTGATGTCTGGCGAGGGCTTTTTCTGCATGCGGTTCGACGAAGGTAGCCTTGCTGCAGGTGCAGGAGCATGGGCAGCTCTCCCTTCGCATCCTTGAAGTGGATCTCAAACATAAACATACAAAGAGAGAGGATATTAAATCCTAATACCAACCTATCGATTACATAATAGGGTTCCTCACAAATGAGATGAGATGAATCATTTTAAACATAATAAAAGCACATAAGTAACACAAGATTGAATCCACTCCAACTATTCTATTACAAATGGATAGGGATGAGGTGGTAATGGTGGTGATGATGATGATGATGATGAAACCCTCTTGATGCACCG